GCATGGAAAAAAATGCTTTTTGGATGTCACTTTCATCCATTGGTTTAATCAGGTGCTTATTCATCTGTCTTGATATAGTAGTGGGAAACCTTGCATTGTTTCCTCAATCTACTCTGTGTTTGCTGTGGTGAACATCTGCTTATAGTATTTACATATTTCCTCCATCACTTCTTGTTCAGTATTGCACCAATCTCTATTGTCCCTTTGCAAATTTTTTTCTGTTTTCTCGCAGCTATAACACTTGCATGAAAGAAAGCAGGGTTTTTGTCTCCTTCTTGTAGTCACATTGTCCTTGCCTTTTGACTCCAGTAGAGTTCCTCCTCTCTATATGCTTTACTGAGTTGCAGTTTCATGTCTACTATTTGTCCCCTTTTTCCTGTATTGTCAGAGTTCTTTATTTTTTGCAGTGTCTATTTTATGTGTTTGATTTTCTCCCCAGAGTTCAAGCTGTTCCTCCTGTTCCATGTCAAAAGAGCCATTCTACATTCTTTTATCTTCCTTGTAACCTTAAACATTCTTGAGACATGCTGTTCAGTTCTCCATGCTCTTTCTATTATCCCTTTGGTCTCCTCATTTCTAACCCATCTTTGATCAAAGTATAATTTTTTTTTTGCTTTCTTGTGATTTGGATTAGTATCCAATATGAGCATACTATGATCTGATGCTTCATTTTCCTGGTGAATACACTTTGCTCTTTCTAAAAGTTGGTACCAGCTCACATTTCCAAGGCATCTATCTAATCCTTTCTTTACTTTCTCCTCACCTTCCTACTGATTGCACCAGGTCCATGGTTTACCTTCAAAACCTATATCTACCAACTCATTTTCCCTTATGAACCTATTGAACTCATTAAAACTACACTCAAGTCTCCTTCTCTCTCCCCATTTTTCTTTCCCAGACCTTATATCATTAAAATCCCCAACCATAATTCAATGTTTCCCCCTCTCTCTTTTTTTGCTCTAAAATCTTCCATTGTTCCTTCTTGACATTCTCAGTTGCGCTAGCATACACCTCCACCAGCCACCACACACACCTTGACTCTGTATCATTTATTTTTGCCTCTATGAAGAAACTCTCATTTTTTATGCTTGCCACTTCTACCTCTTCTTTCTAGAACAATGTAAGACCACCTAATTTTCAACTGGGATTAATGACATGGCATTCATCAAATTTAATCTGTCTTTGGACCTTTTCCATTGCTATTTTTTGTTTTTTGTCTCACACAAGAAGACAATACTTGGAAAGTAGAGATTTATCACCTCCTTTAGTTGGAGAATTGTCAAGGTCCTCCCACACCTTGACAATTCCACAGTAGAACCTTTATTTGCACTGTGAAGGCTTTGTTGGGGTTGCCTCCAGTTCCCCTTGGTTAGTTGTTTTCTGGTTTTGCCTTCTCACTTATTTCTGCAGTGGTTCATTTCAACCATCTTCGTCCATTGGTTCTCCCTCCTCTTTTTCTGTATTCTTCTTTCTTTAGCCTCCCTACTCCAGTATCTGAATGTTTTCTTTCATTTCCCAAGTGCGATTCTTTTGATCCTATGAAATTTTTTTTGTTGTTTTCTTTTGTCTTCTGGTTTTGAGTTTGATGCCTGCAACTTTCTTTTTGGTGCTCCCCTTTCTGTTCTCCTTGCATACTCTCCACATTTTTTGGCTGTTGCATGTTCTCTTTTCCAATTTCACCTGTTTGCATTTCCATGTCCATTTGGCCCTCTCCTTCCCTTACAAAGTCCTCTTTCTGCTATATTTCTCCTTATTTTTCTTTTTCCTAATCTTTTTTCCTTTCTTCATTTTTCCTTCCTCCTTTATCTGTCCCTCCCTTGTTATTTATTGACTTCGTCCCACATGTTTCCCACTTTCCTACTTGTTTCCTTCTTTCTATCCCCTACCTTTCCTACCCTCTCATCTATTGGCTTTCTCAAATCTTTTAGTTCCATCCTCTCCAATGCCCCGTGAACCTTTCTTCCTCCAGTCTTTACTTCTTCTGATGTTTGGGGTTGTCCCTTAAGGATCAGTTCCTTTTCATACTCGCCCCTGAATGAGACATCATAATGTTCCCTACTCTCATCCATGGCCTAAACTGGGTGTCTCTGTGAGGTTGGTTGGAGTTCATTTTAAGTCTGCAATTCTTATCTCCATGTCCTATGATTCCACATTTGGAGCAAAAATCTGGACACCTCTCGTATTTGAATTCTATCCACACCATCACTCCATTTAGCTTCACAGGGGTCCCTCTTGCAAGTGGTTGTAGCAAGTCTATCTCAGCAAAAATCTTCATATGTCTCCCCTCTTTTCCACTCTTTGGTGGTAAAAGAACTTCCTTTACCTTTCTAAACACTCCTATTTTTTCATGTTGCATTGCTCATCCAGTGAACTGACAGGTTCCAGATTTGTATCCAGAGACAGAAAAATCTAAAGCACTCAATATATATTTTTCAAAACCTGCACATCATTCTCCAATCACCAGAATATGATTGGTCAAGATCCAAGGACCTCCAGATAGGACCTTCTTCCGTTCCTCCTCCTTCTCAAACTGAAATTGAAACACATTTGGGCTTATCTCAATAACTCTTTAAGTTTCTGGGATAACCCAAGCATAATTGTGAAGTTTTTAACTCCAGTGAAGTTAGCTATCTTTTCTCTCATTATTCTCCTACTAAGCTACCTTTACAGTCCTGTACACTTTGTTCCACATCTGCACTGCTTAGATCTATTCCAACCACTTTCGTCTCTAATAGATCAAATCTTTGCAAGGCACTTTGCTACAGCTTCCTCCATCTTCCCCAAAAATATGCAATGTTCCCACTACTATCTCAAATATGGAAAGAAACTCCCGTTTAACCTGGGAATAAAAGGAAAAAAAATAAAGCACCACAGAGACTAAAGACAAATGAGTAAAACTAATTAGTAATTAAGTAAACCGAAAAAGGAAAAGCAAGGTATAAGGCCCTTCCCCCCCTCCCCAACTGGGTTCCTGGAGTTTCGTAGGTCTGAACTCTGTTCATATGAGCTTACAACTACTCCATGATAGGTGGATTTAGAGACATTTGAAGGGAGAGGGAAAGAAAGAAAATGGACACTCAAGAGAGCTACAGAAACAATTTTTGATCTGAAGAAACTACATACTGTATTCTTTAATGATTCAGGCAATTTAGCAGATCATCGATCCGACAATCTTGAAATAGCAGAATTTTAAATTCTCTATTCTTGAATTTTGAAAAGATGTTCAAAAGCTAGGCGAGAAAGTGAGAATAGAGAGAAATGGAAAGCGGGTACAAAACTAGGGAGCTCCTACACTAAGGAGGGAAGTTCTCACTTTTGGAGAGAGAAGCTCTCATTTTTAGAGAGAATTATTTTTCCCTCTATCCTTGCAAGATAGATATATAATATGTTACTGGACAATGATCATTTTCGTGGTGGTTTCATAACATCCTTAATCTTATTTTTTTACGAGTAATAATGAGAAAAAAAAAGAGCAAAACCTTTATTTTTCACAAATCATTCCAAGAAGTTTGGATGGTGTTTTCTTTCTTTTTTTTTTCTTTCTCCATTTGCTCCTTTTGTGTTCCATATATATATATATATATATATATATATATATATATATTCTATGATCATATTCACACATAATCAAACAGATTAAATAATTATAAAATTAATATGCTTCATTAAAACAAAGTACCTTGGTTAGATTTTTTTTTCTAAAATATGTATATTATTTGTGAGATTGTAAACGAAAGTTTTTTTCATATAAAGAAAATTAACTTTGCAAAGAGTTAGGCAATAATTCATGGCATGTAGCAAATTTCAATAAAGAATAAACAGGAAAAGAGAAAGAGAAATTGTACTCATTCTTCTTTTGAGTTTCAAACAAAAAATAGAAAATAAGTAGAAATTTTTATTTATACTTCTCCTTTTGGCTGAATTATTAAAACAATACTTGAGGTTCCAAAACCCATGCAAAATAAGAAAAAAAAAGAGAAAGAAATTGGGTGGCCAAAAAGTGTGTGTGTGTGTGTGTTTTTTTTTGTGGGGAGTAACTTTTCTTTTTCTTCTTCTTTTTTTCCCTAATAATAAAGAACCAGAAGAAGAAAAGACAACGCATTGAAGAGAACAAAGGCGGCGGTGACTGAAAGCCTCGCTAAGGGCAGCCACAATGCGGATGTAATGGGGAGCCATTACACCGCTCCATGACACGACTCCCCATTGGAGCCGTGTCATGGAGATTACACGCATGATGCGTGTAATCCATTGAACTTATGTAATTCATTTTGTTATTATTTGTATTTTATTTGATTTAACTTATGTAATATTATGTTATGGAGTGCAACTAATTACATTCCGAATTATTAATTAAGTATGGATTATTATGATATCTCCACATTTGAAGTATCAAATATTTGTTTAATTTCCTACATAATTATTTTTAAAAAAATAACAATATATTATTTTTGAAACATAGAAAAGATATTATAAAAAAAATAATATATCATTTTTAGAAAATAAAAAAATTCAAAATGTACAAAATTTAGCGAAAGTTAGTACTTTATTTTTTAAAAATAACAAAATTAGTTTTAAAAATTACTTTATTTATTTATGGAATATGAGTTATGCATTATTAAAATAAATATTTGATTAATTGTGGACCCATGCTATTACACCTTATGGAGTGTAATTCATTGTGAGTGAAAGTGTAATAAAAGAGGAGAAAGTGGAATGTTGACGTGGCATGTAGATTACACTCCACAAAGTGTAATAGCATTGTGGATGCTCTAAGCTAATTGCTAACTCTGGCAACCCTATAAATATCCGACAGCGCCAATTTCTTCATCATTCTGTCTTCCTGCTCGACACTCGGGAGCTAAGAAGTGAGAACTTAGAAGCCCTATTCTTGTAATCTACCGCATCAATCGTAAATATAATTGAGGAAAGAAGGACGCATTCTTAGAGAATACGAGGAGTAGGGTCGAAGAAGAAAGAAACAGAAATTTTGGGAATAGCGAATGGGAAGGCCAAAAGGAGACGGAGCAAGAAGCAAGTCTCGTCCCTCTAGCAGCAGGTTGTCTTCTTGGTTCTGTTATCTTCAGGGTTTGTCTCCTTATTTATTTTGCGATGAAATTGGCTGTAATTTCGATCCTATTTTGCAGTCTTGCTGCGTCGCTATTGCCCTCAGGTGCTGCAGCAGTAGGGTTCGGAGGCTATGTGGGTAGCTCACGCGTCGATTCTTCTTTCTCGGCTGAGGCTCCTACTGTTTCTTTGGTAGGAGACTGGTTGTCTATCGCTATTTTCAAGCTCCGATGTATTTGTAGATATGGGTATATGTATAATGTTAAAAAAAGGAATAAAAAAATCGTTTTTTGGTTCCCTCCTTTTAACAGGGAAGTACCTTGGTTAATGGTTGATGTTGAATGTGGCCTTAGAAAATGAGTCCCTTGAAAGTTCAGCATTAGCAGTTTTCAGGAACTTTTCACAAATTTTGATCGGCCATTTGCCAATTCTGTTAACCTAAAAATTTTTTATTCTGTGTCTCTACCTTCTTATTATTCTTTTCCTTGCCCCTTGTTTGATTGGGTTTGTGATGACTCTTAGTTTGGGGATGAAATTGACAAAAACAGGATATAGATGGCGAAGTGGCACAACACTTGAAGAGACTTTCCAGGAAGGACCCCACCACTAAGGTAATGCTTGCATTTGCATCATTCTGTCTCGGCATTCCAGTTCTATACATATTCTGCCTTGTTCACTTTCTCTTGTATGTCTTACGAGCTCATCGTCTCTCTTGCTGCTTCATCAGCTTAAAGCATTAACGTCATTGTCTCAACTTCTCAAAGAAAAATCTGCGAGTGAAGTTGCTCCTATAATTCCGCAATGGGTACGCTACTACGCTTAAATCTAGATGAATGTCAATACATCTTCATCAGGCTGGTTTTGATACGGTTATTACCGGTTTGTATCATGCTTATGGTTCCAGTTATTACTTGGGTTAAGATAGTTGACATGCATGAATGCATCCAACTAGGCTTTTCTCTTGTGTATTTGGTCTTAACTGGATTGACATATGTTTCTATTTTTTTTTAGACTACAGTGGGAATGAAGAACAACCTTTTTTAAGTGGAACTCTAAAGAGCTGCAATTCTAGTAAATATAGTCCTTGTTCAAGTGGTAAAGGAATTAACGTTACAAAACGTACTAATAACAGACACTGCAATTTTTAGTGCTGCAAATCCTTCTTGTTGCAGTTCAGCTGGGGACCACAAATACTCTGGTCTATAATAATAGAGATCATAGCTGAAGCATAAATTTTTTGGAAGTGGTGGGAGGAATCTTTTGATTTGTACAGATTCACTCCGATGTCAAAGTGTGCTGCTAATGCATGGGTTGCATATTGGGTGCAAATTTAAATTCCGTATTGTGGTAAAAATAGCATTTTTTGGGGCTTAAAGTCATTTTTTTTGCTCTCTGTCTAGGCATTTGAGTACAAGAAGCTGTTGTTGGATTACAACCGCGACGTTCGGCGAGCAACTCATGATACAATGGCTTATCTTGTTCGTGCAGTCGGGTTTGTGAACTTGTTTTATGTGGATGAAGACTGTTTCACAAATTGACATTATTTTTTGTGTACTAAAAACATGATTTCATTAAAGGTCATGATTTTTAACTGTCTGTAAATGGTCTATTTCTATGGCTTCATGCTTGAGATGAATGGTGCTTGTTGGCAAGGTGACATCTTCTATGTATAATGCGGAAGGAATAAAAGATTTGGTCTCTTTTGTGCAACTAATGTCAAGTTACAGGAAATTTTAACTTAAAAAGTTTTTGGATTTGAGAAAGACATTGCTAAACTATCATAGTTCTTGCTTCTCTCTCCTTTCAGAACTGAACCTCTATTATATCTGTTTATTGTATTCCTCTATCATTTAGTCTCATGAAGAGTACTTGAACAAAAGTTCATTAAAGATTCTAGCAGTTAATGTGTAGTTTCAAAAGGTTGACAAACCGCTATTCAAAAACAATTTCATGGTCGCACAATCTCAGAGCAGGAATGCCTTTTATGTAGAGCGTTGGAAGCAGTAGCGAGAAGAGAACTGCCCTCTTATGTAGGCCTGTAACTTACCTTTCTTGGTGGCTTGATGCTGAATTTTGTGTTACATGGCTTACCTCTGAAAGAGATGTTCAACAAAACCAAGGGAAGTTAATTTGCATAACTGATGAGAAACTGCAAATGTAGTGCAGGCATTTAGTCCAGTCAAAAGGATCATATACTCTCAAACATGATAAATGTATTGCAGTCCCTTTACTCATTTTTCTTTGTGTTCACTAATATATGATTGCATGGTGAAGGCCTGTGGTTCTTACCTTTTGTGTGTTCAGAATTTATTATTCTTGATTTATTGCATTACAAACTTTAACCTTCAATAATATACTATGTGGTATAATACTAGGATGCCCATTTTGCATCAAGTCTTTGAATAATGTTTTTGCTAATTATTCTTCATTTATCCTTTTTGCAGAAGAGACTTAGCACCACATCTCAAATATTTCTTGGGACCCTGGTGGTTTTCTCAATTTGATTCTGTTTATGAAGTTTCTCTAGCTGCAAAAAGGTCATTTCAGGTTTGCATCTGTTTCTTGACGATGTGGACTCAGTGAATTCACGATGCTGTTTTGTGTGCATTGCAAGTGGCAATAGGATGATACCCTTGCTTCATCTCTTGCATTGCCTGTAACAGCTGTCTTTTAATTATCTAGTGCAAAATTATTCATTTTGTATTTTGTGCATGGTTTTTAGTTTGAATAGATGTTCTTGTTTGGAATCTTTTTAACTTTTATCTAATTCCATCTTACCTGCTTCGATCTCTGCATCATTTCAGGACTAAAAGCTTCTCTATTTGAGCATTTTTTTATATTTGAATTTGTTATACATTTTATAACCAACCCAGTGATGCAATGAAGCTTCAAAAGTATTTTTTCCATACCAAGAAGATATCTTTTGTACAGTTCTATTTCCTGTCACTTCGTTTGTTTGAACTTTCCTTCCTGTTTATCAAAAATTAATCCAGAAAAACTTGACTTTGCTTAATTCTGATCTTGGAAAAGGCAGCGTTTCCAGCGCAGGAGAAAAGACTAGATGCCTTAATTTTGGGTACATCTGAAATTTTTATGTATATAGAAGAAAATCTGAAGCTTACACCCCAAAGTATGTCTGATAAAGTGACTGCCACCGATGAATTGGAAGAGATGCACAAGCAGGTACTGATTTATGTTCTCATTTCCACACTATGATTCAGTTGCATTACCTGGTCAACTATATGTCAATAACCTGCCTGCTCCATGAAGAAACTTCTGCATTTAGCTCACAGTTATGATTCTCACCTCTGTGCATATCAGAGCGAGAGTGAGAGAGTACAAAGACATGGTCTTTAATTGGGAATCCCTTTAGTTATTTTTGGAGTTCAAGTCTCCTGCTTAATATTATTTTTGTTAAACAAGGTCCAAGACTGAAACTTAGGAGTAGTAGTCAAAGATACTTGATGTGGTATTCGAGCGCTTCAGGCATTTGCTCTGCTCTACTTGATTGTCGAAGAGCAGAGATTCAGTGGTTGAACGGAGAAATTTCACCTTGAATTTGATGCAATTGAAATACCTTGCTTTGTGTATTAACAATCATGACTTCTTTGGTTCTGTGAAATTTTTCTTTTCATGTTTTATTATTTTTAAAATGAGATTGTGAATCTCTAATTCATCATTATAGTGATCTTCATCTTTTCAACAGATGCTTAAGTTCCTGTCTTATGATTAACATGCATCTTCATTTAACTTTACTTTGGACCTCCTTTGTGATCTGGTTGTTGTCTTGTTATTTCACCAGAACTCAATAACACTGTTCAACTCAAACACTACTAGCTTGGATGTCTTGGTTTTTGCATTTGTAATCACCAATTTTCAATCTATTGCTAGGCCAAAGAGTGGGACTTGAGTTATGGGGCATAAGCATTAAATAGTACAACAGATGATATATTGTATCTTATTTTGTCCCTGTTTTGAATTGTAGGCTTGGGTGTTTTCATCACATTTGTTTCTCTCTTCTCATTTGTATTTTAGTGACATTACATTGTAATTTAATTTAAAAGGAATATTGAGAATTACTGTGATTCCTGGTCGTATATTCTGTAGTATTATTTTCCTTGTTCCTAATGGTGTGCATTTAATTATTGTTACTGGAGAACAGGTGATCTCATCTTCTTTACTTGCTTTGTCGGCTCTTCTTGATGTTTTGGTATGCCTACAATCTGAAAGACCTGGTTTTGAAAACATAAAAGCTGAACCAAAGAATGCTTCAAAAGCTAGAGCTACTGCTATAGCTTATGCCGAAAAGTTGTTCTCTGCAAATAAGTATTTTATAGACTTTCTGAAGTCTAAAAACCCTGGTGTACGGTCAGCTACATATTCCGCAATGAGAAGCTTCATCAAGAACATTCCTCATGCAATTAATGAAGAAAATGTAAAAACTCTTGCTGTGGCAATACTTGGTGCTTTCCAGGAAAAAGATCCCACATGTCATTCTCCAATGTGGGAGACAGTGTTGCTATTTTCCAAAAAGTTTCCAGAAAGCTGGACATTGTTGAATGTTCAAAATGTCATTCTCAATTGCTTCTGGCATTTCTTAAAAATGGGTGCTTTGGCTCCCAACAAGTGTCATATCCCGCTTTAATTCTGTTTTTAGATGCAGTACCTCCGAAGGCAATAGTTGGAGAGAAATTCTTTTTTGATTTCTTTAAGAACCTGTGGGAGGGAAGAAGCTTGTCTCATTCCTTAACTGCAGATCAACAAGCATTCTTTCTGGCATTGAAAGAGTGTTTTCTTTGGGCCTTAAGAAATGCTTCAAGGTGGGAGTTCAGCAATCTTTAGTTTACATTCAAATATGATGCTTCATGTTCATGTGGCGTTGTTCTTTGCTTTGGGCAATTTCCTCTTTTCTGTTTCATTTGTCATTCTTCAACTTTTTTTTTTCTTTTTTGTGGTTATAATCTTTTTTTCTGCCAGGTATTGTGATACATTAGATGCTATTCAGCATCTGCAGTATGCTCTTACGACGAGGTCCTGTTGAAGCTTATGTGGTGTGAGTACTCACAGTTTGTTAGCCCAAAAGACAAGAGCGCAATGGTTCCTGGGGCTTCCCCTGTTTCATCAGAGGATACAATTCAGACTTCCAATATGGAAAGAACAGAAAACCTGAAGATGAAGTATCCAGTTGGTTACGAGCAAGATCTTGGGAAATGCATTGTTGAGATTCTTTCTGGTGTGTATTCTCTGGAAAACAATCTGCTTTCAGTGTTCTGTTCTGTCTTTCAGAATCACTGCATCGAAATATTTCAGCAAATTGAGAGTTCTGGAAATGTTGAAGTAGTCATTAGATTTGTATTATTACTGGATCAGCATGTGGTGAAGAAAGGTGAAACATGGCCTTTGGATTATTTGGTGGGGCCAACACTGGCAAAATCTTTCCCATTGATTAAGGAGCTTGTAAGTTGGTCTTGGAAACTTTTGGTATCCTGTTATTAAGTCAGTTGCGTCTCTTTTTTTTTTTTGATAAGTAGGAGAGAATGCATTTGCCAGTGAATTTTGGAAGGCTGCCACTTTGAAATATTATCTTGGTTGGTCTGTTTCAACCTCTTAAATGCGGTGTTGATTTTGCGAAGCTTCTAATGCGATCTCGTAATTTTTGTGGTCAGTTCATGCCATATTATTGCTGCTACTTAGGATAGAACTTCACTACATTGTGTTGAAAATTTTTTGTTAACTACCTTAAATCACGAGAATCAAAGATATTGTACTTAAACAGTTTGGCTTTTTAATATTAGTTGTAATAAGAATAGATGGTTTTCATTTGATTGTTTCTACTGAATACTGCATTTGCAGCCATCTGTAAAACCTTCATGCTGGGGATATATGAGATAGAATTTGAACTTCTAATTGTGGCATTTCAATTTGCCTTTTATCGTATGTTTAATGTTGTTTGAATATTTAATCATTCTTATGCCTGATTTTGCCGACTCCAGGACCCACCAGATGCTTTGAGATTTATGGCTGCTGTAGCCTATGTATTTGGACCTCACAAGATAATTCAAGAGCTTATGGGCATTGAATTGGGAAAAGAGCAGTTTTTACAAGCTTTCAATGAAATATTTATTCCTTGGTGCTTGAAAGATTGGAGTGTGTCTACCAGCGCCAAATTGGATTTTTTGCTTGCATTAATGGACAGTGAATATTTTACAGAGCAGTGGAATAGTATTATTACATATGCCATATATCCAAAGGATAGCACTTTGGGACTTCGGATTCCAAAATACCTGTCCTGGCAGTGCTCATGGAGAAGGCAAGGGAGAGACTTAGAAAGGCGAATACTCTACGAGGTTCCCAACCAGAGGACTGGCAACACGAGTTTCTAGACATTGCTGCACTATCTGTTGTTAATGCCAACCCCCCTTTGGAACTTCTGATGCCCGATTTCTACGGTATGCAGATTATGTCTGTGTATTGTTCTCTCCACAGGACTAAATGTTTCATAATAGTTGGGGGTTTGATATTGTTTTGGGTAACTTGAGCATGTCCTTTATTGTTTTCATGCACTTCTAATCAATTAACCGGCCACCCTTTTTTTACTGGGTTTTTGGTACGAAGAACCATGCACATTGAAAAAAAAAAACTGTTGTACAGCATTTTTTTTCTTTGTAAAGTATGCGAAAGACATTGATATTATACAGCAATAATGTCGTGTTCTAAAGGGAAAGAAAAGTTTCTATGACTGAAGCTGGTTAACTAATGGATGAGGCTTTCTCCATTCCTATGACTCTTTCTTGGTAACCCCATAGTTTATGTTATTGTCATGATGCCAAATTCCTCATTTTTATAGGGGATTGAATTTCTAAATTCTCCTATTTCAGGAGTATTATTTGTGGGAGATATGAATTTATTTGCTGGTAATGTAGTGTCATAGCTGTGATTCAGAAGACATCCCCCCCCCCCCCCAACAAAAAAAAATTTCTGAGTCTATATATATAGAATATATGAACTTATTAACAAATCAAAACCTTTTTCATCCAAAAAAAGGACGAAAGAAATTCCATAGGTAGGGTCACCACTTTTATATTTTAGCGGTCGGAAGGTACTGCTTCGTTGACAGATCTGCTTCCTCGTTTTGCTTCTAACTTTTCTTGCTTGCCTGAAGGCTTAGTGTCCTTTTTGCTAGGTCCAAAGATCTGATCCAACAAAAATCCCATCCTGCATATGGAGCATTTCCCCCCACCCACCAAAAAAAAAAAAACTAAAACAAGGAACAACAAAAATAGAAAAAAGAGAGAACAAAAGCCCTGTCGCATGCCTGTGGCTTCATATTTGTCATGGTTCTTTTCAAATATATATGCCTCATTTGTTGTTTCTACGCGTAAATTTTACTTTTTGATCTTTTTTTTTTTTTTGTGAGTAAAAAAATTTTTTTTTTTGCTGTTTTCCTTGACATCTTTTTGAGATCTTGTGTCTTTTCTAGAAGTATTATAAAGTAATATCTTTCCCTCTGTCTAGATGCCTGGTTTGTTCAAAAAGTTTTTTTTTTAATTTCCATATATATGGACATATTTGCATATTTCTCGTTGCATCATCTGTATATTCAGTGTCCTCTTCAACTGATGTGCAGTGCTCTTATTGGTGGGGAAACCAAAGAAGAAAGTTCCTTCATCTCCAGAAATACATTAAGTCTGATATTCAAGGAAGTACTTAGAAAGCTGCTGACTTTCGTTGCAGATTCAACTTTTGCATGGGTCAAGTGTGTGTGCTCTCTGATTCCTTGTGCAGGAAAATTGTCAGAAGTTAGATGGAGATCTTCTAACCATGTTCTTGAGGAAGCTAATTTTGCTCTTGAAGTACTAACTGGTAGTTTCTTCTGCTTGAAGAAGTTAGATTGTGAAATTGAGATGATTGCTGGTATACTGGGTGCTATTTTTGTCATTGATTGGGAGTATAATAGCATAAGAACTGTTATCAGCAGTGAGCTTGATGTTGAATGCATGGAGCAAGTGAAGATGAGGATGCCTTTCTGTGAATCTGTGCATGCTTTTCGCAGTAATATAAGCTGTCAGTTTTTAAAGAGCTTCTGCCTTGAGATCCGCAAGAACTTGAGGAGCATTTTGGTTCATATGGGAAGGTGGGCTGTACTTAAGGAAGATAAGTTAGACATTGACAAAATAACCTCTCTATCCTGCCTATGGTTGCTTGAAGTCATGGAATGTCTATGCGTAGACCAATTTGAGGAACAAATGTTGTTAGATGAGTTTTTGGGCAGAAGTGATTTCTGGCCATTGTGGATAATGCCAAATGCCAATTCTCAAGAAAGATCAGCTGTATTGAACACTGATTGCACTACTATCGATGTAAGTGAAATTTGCTAAGTTTTTTTCCATAAACTACATATATCATGTGATTTTGCATTTTGTGTTCATAGGTAATGTCTCAGCCTATTAATAACAAGCTCTCATGACCATGGTGATCTGGATCTTCTGACATTGAGCTTCAACTAGTTAAACATTCATGACCCTTGCTGTTAACTTCAGTCATCCCTTTTCTCTGTTGCGTCCGTTTTTGTCAAAATGTAAAGGGTTAAATACAAAAACCCTCCTGTGGTTAACCAAATGTTCACCTTAACTCCTTATTGTTTAAAAAGCTACATTAAACCCCCTGTGCTTTAGACTATAGTGAAATGTTAAATTTTGTGTTACATATAACAGTGTTAAAGGTTAAATTGACAAATTCATATTACAAAAGTTAAGACTCTTCTTCTTCTCTTTCTTTCCATACCCCCCTTCCAATTCTTTTTTCGTTTTCTATTTTATTTGTTCTCACTCCTCACATATGAACCTCCTCTGCTAACCTAGACCAACCATTTTCACAACCAGCAGACTTGGACCCAATGGGAAGGGGTGGCTGGATTGTTTAGAGAAACCATGAGAAGGTGGGGTGGCTGAATCAGCAAATTTTCTCTTTTTTTTCCCAATACTTCCCTGGTAGTTTGAGATGGGAAGCACTCTAAAAAAAATTCTCCGGTCAAGTTGTTGGGCTCCAAAGTCCAACATGCTTAAAATCCACAAGCACAATTGTCTCCAATCGCAAAGAAATATCTTGGTCATGATTATAGCTTCGATTGCATCACAATTGAGGAGCAATTACTGTCTTGTTAAATTGAATTTTTATTAGCAAGCTTGGACAAGGCTTGCTTGGTGCTGCAATGGCAAAACATCTTATGATGGCTTCTTGTAATTGCTCAAACAGCATTGATCATTTCTGGTCATTGACTAGTTTTTTCATTGCGCTTTTTGAGTCACTGACCAGTTTTATGAAGTTTTCACTTTTCTCAGTAATAATCTTATGGTGTTATGATGAAATTTTGTACAATATATTATGACCCTTTGCGAGATTTCAGCCTTTACTTAATTAGCCGAATAGCGGCTTGGCACTCTGGTTTTCCACAAAGTTGCGGTATATTTTTCATGTAATTTTGTAACCGTTGGTGGTGGCTGCCAGCATCAATTATGCTGGCACACAGCGTAGTGCAGGAGACATCTCTGGATCTTGGTTGAAGAAGAAGATTGGAGAGGAAGAGTAAGGTTTTTTTGGTGATATTCCATTGCTACCTAAAGTCAATCTGGAATCATTGTTTGACCCCAGATTTTCTTTAGAATGTCATTTAACCTTAGCTTAGAGAGCAACTTGATAATTTCATCATTGTTTTCATTAAAAATTTTGACTATTTTCATTTGTCTGTTAAATTGGATGGAAAAACTAACGGTTTCAATTTTCTTAAAACCATAAGGGGTAAATTGTAGGTTTCAAACCATAGGGAGTTAAGGTGAACATTCGCTCAACTATAGGCGGGTTTTCTGTATTTAACCCAATTGTAAATGGTGGAATTCATGTCTGGTCTCTGTTGTCTAAGTTCTGAAGCCTTTGACAGAGGTGAATCCACCAACTTGTATTTTGCCACCTTCAAATCTTGTAGTACAAATTGGTGTGCTAGTTTCTATGTTTTACTTAGGCAGTTGCGGAGTTATTGCTGACCTGTCTGTGGGTTACACTGAACAAATGATGACTGCAAGTTTTGAAAGCTTACTTACGGAATGTTTGCAGGAATCTGGAAACCAGAAGTTTGTTATTTTGATTGACAAGCTTATATCCAGAATTGGATTTCATAGAGTTATTGCTGGTGCTGTTGCTCATGATTCTCCAACTGTGTCTGAGGAGCCTACTGTAAATCTGACAACCTCAGAGGTTTCTTATTCTCGTGCCTGGCTGGCTGCGGAAATATTATGCACCTGGAAATGGCCTGGTGGTAGTGCTTTTAGCTCGTTTTTGCCTCTCCTAAGTGCTTATGTAATCAGTCAAGATTATTCTCCTGCTCATGGCCTTTTAGATTCTATTGTTTCCATTTTGCTTGATGGTGCTCTTATGCATGGAGAAAGTGGTGAACTGACTCCTGGAAATGTATGGCCTGGGTTGTATCATGAGGCTGAGAGTATCAGTGAGCCCTTTCTAAGAGCGCTCATAGCATTACTCTCTACTCTTTTTCAAAAAAATATATGGGGAAAGGTCAAAGCTGTGTCATATTTTAGGATGCTTCGAGAGAAACTCTTTATTGGTGAAACAGTGAACTTAAATTGTTTGAATGTTCTTCCTGCATGTATGGAAGTTTTTATAGCACCGCTGAGCATTGCTTCTGATGCATCCCACAAAAGCGACCAGCCTGATGATTTCATAGAATGTGAGCTACATGTTACTGTTGTGGACTGGCTCCGGAAAACTGCATGCTTCCCTCCTCTAAATACATGGCAAAGTGGAAAAGGTATTGACACTCTGAAAACTTTATGATGCTAAAACTTTGTAATGATATACTCCCTCCACTTCAGTGTCCTAGTTTCTTGGAACATAAAGTTCAGAATGAGTTGAAAGTATAAATTAGATACATGACTAAGTCAGGAACATGTGAAGCTCCCTCTTGTTAAATGAAAGCTAAGCAAAAAATTAGTAGGTGGGGAGGATGCTGGACTTCTACCTATTTTTGTTTACTTGAGTACTTAATTGGAACAAATAAAGTAGTGTTTAAAGTTCCAATTTAGTGAAAGTGCATTATCTTCTGTAATTAAGCCATTGATTTTTGGGAACAGCGACTTGTCAATAGCAATTTGTCACATTGATGAACTTTCTGATTTTCACCTGTTGGGTAGAGCATGAAGTGGCAAGTCCTCCTTTTGTCCAAATTAGCAGCGCATGAATAGCCATAGTTCTTACCAACTAAAGAAAGAAAAGCCAAAAATATGGGTGTTTAATAGTTTCTTGTATTTAATTTTTCCAGTTTCTGTTTCAAATGACACCCTGATTTTATTGCAAGTACCTGATTATGTCGTGCAGATATGGAAGGTTGGTTTCAGCTAGTTTTATCCTGTTATCCTGTAAGTGCAGCAAAAGGAGTGAATTGTATAAAGAAACAAAGGAGTATTGACTCTCTGGAGAGAGGTGTTCTTTTTGAATTATTTCGGAAGCAAAGACAAAATTTTGGTGCAGCAACTTTGATTAACAAACTGCCCATGGTCCAAGTTTTATTGTCAAAGCTTCTACTGGTTTCAGTTGCTTATTGTTGGGAGGATTTCAATCATGATGATTGGGAGTTTGTCTTGTATCGCTTAAGATGGTGGATCGAATCCACAGTTGTGATGATGGAAGAAGTTGCTGAAAGTGTGAATGATGCTATTACAAGCAGTTCAACTTGTAGTGATTTGGAAGCTACTTTAAACAAGCTTATGCTTACAGCTTCAAATGTAGACCATTCTGCTATAAATATTGCAAGAAATGCTCTTGCTGCATTTTCTTTGTTTTGTGGCCATCTTGGGAATGAAAACAATGAACTGGAAGATAATTTAAACCCATTGACGAATGACAGATGGGAGATCATGAAAGATCGAATTTATGAGTGTATTCTTCGTCTGTTTTTTTCTACTGGTGTTGCTGAGTCGATAGAAGGCTCTTTCTGCAGTGAATCTTCATCTTTTATAGCAGCATCTAGGCTAGAGGATTCGCAGTTCTGGGAGCTAGTTGCTTCATCTGTTGCTGAGTCATCCTCACACGCAAGAGACAAAGCCGCAAAATCAGTTGATATGTGGGGACTAAGTAAAGGGCCCCTTGATTCTTTATATGCTATCCTCTTTTCTTCAAAACCCCTTCCTCATCTGCAGTTTGCTGCCTATACTCTTCTCTCTAGTGAACCTATATCACATGTGGCTTTTATAAGTGAAGAATTTAAAACATCATTTGATGAAGATACTTCCAGTAATCAGGGTTCTGTCCTTCCCGATTTGGCTTCAGAACAGAATTTCCGTTTGAGGGACGAAATCAGTTTCATGTTTGAAAGATTCCCCCGTGAAGTCCTTGATATGGATTTATTGGCCTGTAAACGGGTACGTAGTCTTTTAATGTACGACAAAATATTAAAAGCTGCTTTTGCATGTATCAATTTGGTACTTTGGACCTTGGATCCACCTCCACTGTACTCAAGGCATCCTTACCTAGCCTAAATGGAAAAGAAAATATATGATGCATACAGCAAATGACTTGTAGGAAAGTTAATTTGGCATCATTAACAGATTTTATGTTATTTCACAGGTAAATCTATTTGTTATTTGGTCTTTGTTGCTATCACATCTAGTGTCTTTGCCGTCGTCAACATCTGCAAGGGAGAAAATGGTTCAGTACATGCAAGATACTGCTGATTCAACAATACTGGATTGCATTTTCCAACATATTCCATTGGAATCCTTGGCTGGGTCCAGCTTGAAAAGGAAAGAACTTCCACCTGCTGTGTCAAGGGCAGCAACAGCTGCTGCACATGCCATCACTACTGGTTCAGTATTGCTTTCTGTGGAAAATCTTTGGCCTCTTGAAGCAGAGAAAATGACTTCATTGGCTGGTGCAATATATGGTCTAATGCTCTGCATGCTTCCAGCTTATGTTCGAGAATGGTTTAACAGTATACGTGATCGCTCTAGGTCATCTATGATTGAATCCTTCACAATAAGATGGTGCAGCCCTCTGCTGATAAAAAATGAGCTAAATCAGGTGTGTCGCAAATCACTCCAATCTTTTGAAACTACTATTCTGACCATTTCAAAATGCTATTCCTGTTTCAAAGTTACATGAATACTGGACAGAGTAGAGATGTTGAGGCCTGTCCTAGGTAATTTTAATCACTGAGGAATGTGTAAGCATTGAGAAAGGCTTACAAACTTAAAATTAGAGTTGTCTTTTCATGGGCAGTGGGCAATGAAGTGGAAACTGACTGTATACTACTGTCATAAGCCCTTGGAAACTAGTGGTCCATTTAAATTCAAGAGGGAGTATGTTTGTGGGTAAGGAAGAATAAGCTTATTATGGAAGTTTACGTGATCGTCATTCCTTCTGCTTTTGTAATGGCTGAGCAAATCCAACAGTATCCAACGACCTGATTGGCTGACCTTTTTTTTAAATAATAATAATAATTTGGTTCTTTAATGAGCTGACCTTTTCCCTGATCTACTACTACTAGATGATGTTTGGGGTTTCTGCCTATGCTTGATAACATTTTTTTCAGTATCTAATCCAGCCTGTATGTCCATCTCGTTGACTATGGAATAATTAAGGAATATAAACCTTGAATCTGCAGATCAAGAAAGCTGATTTTGCTGATGAGAATTTCTCAGTTAGTGTGAGTAAATCGCCAATGAGGTCGTGGCTACCTACACAAAGGATGAAACAGGCATGGATCTAGTCATTCGACTTCCTGCATCTTATCCGCTTCGATCTGTGGATGTAGATTGTACTAGGAGCCTTGGCATTAGTGACGTGAAGCAGAGAAAGTGGTTAATGTCAATGATGTTATTTGTTCGCAATCAGGTATCTCCTATAAGATTCAATTCATCTAATTTTCCTGTGAAATTGCTATTGGCTATAAAATGGTTTATAAGAAGTGAGAGTTGTTCAATTAATCACTAGTCCTGTATTAAACGCGGGAGGTATTGATGTTTGTTTGAAGAATTCAGTTTTTCTTTCAGTAGCTGAAAGTACGAAGTAATAGTTTTTCACTTGCCATTCATCTGAGATTATGTGATTCACCTAATGTTGCTTGAGCAATACTGTATTTGTTGACCACTTATTATAATCAGCCATTACTTGAATGATTGATTTTCGTCAGCTTGCAACTATGGACCTGATAATCTATTTTTCCTGTGATGCAGAATGGTGCCTTAGCCGAATCAATACGAATATGGAAAAGCAACTTTGACAAGGAATTTGAAGGTGTGGAGGAGTGTCCCATCTGTTACAGTGTCATCCATACTTCTAACCATAGCCTTCCACGCCTAGCATGCAAAACCTGCAAGCATAAGTTCCACTCAGCCTGCCTCTACAAGTGGTTTTCGACTTCTCACAAGTCTACTTGCCCATTATGCCAGTCTCCTTTCTGATCTCGTTGAGTTCAAGCACAAGACTGGTTACCATGGAGCCTGCCTTGGAAGGGATTTGCAACTTCTCAAAGAAGCTTTTTTGTCCAGTTTCTTTGATCTTGATGCATAAGGAATTGGTTTTTGATCTTGCACCCGTAGACTAGTTTATTTGTAACCGAAAAAAAAAAAGAATGGGCTTGAGGCAGGATTAGTAGACCTTGAAGAAAACCAAGCTGTGAGCTTCATGAGTGGGTAAATACTTTCATTACCACAAATGGTTTTCCTCACCTTGTCAGTGAAGTTCAGCGGAGAAAGAACACTGATATATATTTTGAGACCCTGAGTGGAGAATATTGATATAGATTTTGAGAACCCTGTCTGGCTTTGTTGGAGACTCAGTATACCTGGAGATGTAGAAGCTTAGATATAGCTTTGTAGAGCAGAATGTTCTGGAATGATAGTTTCTGGCAATCCTAGAACTGGAAGCGAGGCACATCTAGTTTAAACTTTAAAGTGACAACTGTAGCAAAATTTGTCTCAATCAGTTTTATGTACAATAGAGATGGATGAACAGCCAAAGTTGTAGGAAGAACGTTCTGTGGAGGCTTTTTCTTTTTTTTTTTTTTTTTTTTCAAAGGTCTTGAATTTGGGATCTTCACTATACTCTCTTTTCTGTACCATCCAGCCATCCTTCCCTCACGCATCTGGAGTTTGCAATGAGTATCTCTCAATGGTTCTCCGATCTATTTGGTCTTCTGCAATAGAATGCACTTATGCGTTTTGCTTCTTGTATTCTTGCTTCCCAATTTTTCTTTCTAGCCAATATTCTCTATATATTTTTTATTCTTTTTTTGAAAATCGAAATTTAAGAAGTAAAGGTGGAGAAGGGAGAATTGAATATGGAATGGACCCTTAATTTGTGGAGCCTCAACTTGTTCAGCCAATATTCTGCTTGTTATAGTAGAAAAAAATGCATTATCGCATTCTTCTTGCTTGTCATTTTCTTCCCCAGTGACTCATATCCTTGCTTTCAGCCGATACGAAGAAAGTCTACGAGTGATAGTCGTTCATTCTCTTTTTTCTTGCGGCAAATATGAATGCCACTAAAATATCGCTTGGAACAGCCACAATTTTATCTGTGTTCCATCTAAAAACCATTATTGTTAAAGCAAGGATCAATTTTAGTTGAATTTAGTCAAGAAAATCATTTGATTGTTAGAAACTTCTTCCCTTTTCGGATTGCTTCAAGAAAAGAGTAACAACTTCAGGAGAAAAATAAAACATGAAACGTAAAATCAGATCAATTATTATACCTTTCCATTCTCAGCCACTCTGGGCGGCGTAAGAATAAAAAATCCACAGCATCAATAGCACGTCCTTTACTACCAATAGTAGCCTGAGTTCATCGAACAAAAAGTTTCTCATATTCCATGCTGAATTGAGGAGTTTCTCATTTTTCAGGTCATAAACAACAATCACTACGGAAAAGGCAACAGTGAACAGTCTTGCAATCGAAACAATTTAAATGAAAATTAAACAAAAAGTAGTTCTCCAACAGCGACATGTCACATATGTATATTTTATGACAAGGACTGGAGCACAAAGTAAATAGGGCTAAGACGGATATCCTTGAAAGGATGCTAAAAAGTTATGGGCAGGCAGCACTGTTCTCAATTGTAACAAGAAGGAAGATCCGAAATCTATTTCCAACTGATCAAAGATAAGGGAAAGCTAAAAAACATTCCCCCAGTCGAACCAATAAAAACAGAGAAGCACCAACTTTGTCAAAATTGTATGATGAAAACATCAGCAAAGCAGCCATTGAACAGAATCACCAAAATCAAAGCGTGAAAGAGTGGACTCTGCTGAACCACAAGAAGTTGCACAAAATGTTTTCTGTGGTCATCTCATGAAAGGCATTAACTGTCTTATCTCTGATCCATTGCCATTGGCAAGATAGTATATCTTCTTCCAGTTGTCCTCCGAAAAAGCATCTCGATTTACAAGTTGTTGCCTGGTAATTAATTAAGCAGAAAAAATGAGTCACCAAGTCATGATAGCAAACCTTGCAGACTAACAGCATTTTACATTTCTAAGTACTCTCGTAATGCATATCCAATCATGCACCATGCTGATTTAGTACTCTTGAATATTAGGTCAAGCAAAGTAATAGCTAACATCTTCACAAGAGTAAAACATCAATCAGTTGTACACAACATAAATATACAGGCCATCATCTTTAATTTGAAAACCATATCCATGAGACTCCAGGTTTGCACAATTTAACTCTTAATCCCAATTTCACAAATTGCCTACATAGAAGGAAACTCAAATGTTGATTCCCATATATATATATATATATATATATATATATATGACAATTCTTTCTGAATTAAGTAGCTTCAGTTGGAGAGGGATACTTCACCAAACTTGCCAAAGTAAACTCGTGCTACACCTTACACCTCACAAACCAAGATAAAAGCAGATACACTTTTTTGCAACTTGATAATTGAAAACTTAAGTTAATCTGACATATGTACCTAACTTAACAATTGATCCTAGCAAAGAGATGGCATATGTACCTAACATAATAATGACAAACAGTAGCAGCTTCATCAAGTTGTAGCGAGGGAAGTTGATCCTAGCATTTGGTGGAACTCTGGTAAGTCCTTGCGTATTTTCCTACTGCAGTTGAATGAGAGAAAGCACCAACCATCATCAGATCCTTGTGCATCATAGACCTAAATGCATTCACCTACAGTTGGTAGATAACAAGGTACCTTAAAATCAAGCAAGTAAGCAACACCTAGTTCAATCAATCAAATAGTTTGGCAAGCACAGAAGAAAAAAAGAATACAGACAGAGAGAAACAATACCATACAATAATGCTACCCATAAGAGAGCAAAAGAGATGTGAAAAAAAACTTATTTTCTTCAAATGTGACCACCAAAAAAAGGTAGAGATTAGTTAGGCTCGCTCGCTCTCTCTCTCTCATGTGAACAAAATTAGACTAGTACTCTAACTACTTGAAATTTCCATCCTATTCCTAATTCATCATAACATTATCAACATCATGTAACAACTCGTGGACCGTGTATAAACACAGTCAGTAACACTAGCCGTGCAGATAAAACTTAGGAACCAAAACCATAATCTGATGATATTCATAAATGAACTCAAGAAGCAATAACAAAAAAGGGAAAAGTCACTTTTTCATTAGCGTTTACATTGTTGAAGAATCATGTTTGTAACTTACAGTTGTGAGCTCTCTAGCGTGAATTGGACGGCAAGAACGAACAGTAACGGTTCCTCATACTCACTAAACGTGAACCAACTGTTATACTACCAATGAAGAAACCAATAAAAAGAGTCAAAGTCATATGCTTACAAAACTAGCTTATCATTCAACATGAGAAACAAATAGTATTACAAAAGTTAAGACTCTTCTTCTTCTCTTTCTTTCCATACCCCCCTTCCAATTCTTTTTTCGTTTTCTATTTTATTTGTTCTCACTCCTCACATATGAACCTCCTCTGCTAACCTAGACCAACCATTTTCACAACCAGCAGACTTGGACCCAATGGGAAGGGGTGGCTGGATTGTTTAGAGAAACCATGAGAAGGTGGGGTGGCTGAATCAGCAAATTTTCTCTTTTTTTTCCCAAATACTTCCCTGGTAGTTTGAGATGGGAAGCACTCTAAAAAAAATTCTCCGGTCAAGTTGTTGGGCTCCAAAGTCCAACATGCTTAAAATCCACAAGCACAATTGTCTCCAATCGCAAAGAAATATCTTGGTCATGATTATAGCTTCGATTGCATCACAATTGAGGAGCAATTACTGTCTTGTTAAATTGAATTTTTATTAGCAAGCTTGGACAAGGCTTGCTTGGTGCTGCAATGGCAAAACATCTTATGATGGCTTCTTGTAATTGCTCAAACAGCATTGATCATTTCTGGTCATTGACTAGTTTTTTCATTGCGCTTTTTGAGTCACTGACCAGTTTTATGAAGTTTTCACTTTTCTCAGTAATAATCTTATGGTGTTATGAAATTTTTGTACAATATATTATGACCCTTTGCGAGATTTCAGCCTTTACTTAATTAGCCGAATAGCGGCTTGGCACTCTGGTTTTCCACAAAGTTGCGGTATATTTTTCATGTAATTTTGTAACCGTTGGTGGTGGCTGCCAGCATCAATTATGCTGGCACACAGCGTAGTGCAGGAGACATCTCTGGATCTTGGTTGAAGAAGAAGATTGGAGAGGAAGAGTAAGGTTTTTTTGGTGATATTCCATTGCTACCTAAAGTCAATCTGGAATCATTGTTTGACCCCAGATTTTCTTTAGAATGTCATTTAACCTTAGCTTAGAGAGCAACTTGATAATTTCATCATTGTTTTCATTAAAAATTTTGACTATTTTCATTTGTCTGTTAAATTGGATGGAAAAACTAACGGTTTCAATTTTCTTAAAACCATAAGGGGTAAATTGTAGGTTTCAAACCATAGGGAGTTAAGGTGAACATTCGCTCAACTATAGGCGGGTTTTCTGTATTTAACCCAATTGTAAATGGTGGAATTCATGTCTGGTCTCTGTTGTCTAAGTTCTGAAGCCTTTGACAGAGGTGAATCCACCAACTTGTATTTTGCCACCTTCAAATCTTGTAGTACAAATTGGTGTGCTAGTTTCTATGTTTTACTTAGGCAGTTGCGGAGTTATTGCTGACCTGTCTGTGGGTTACACTGAACAAATGATGACTGCAAGTTTTGAAAGCTTACTTACGGAATGTTTGCAGGAATCTGGAAACCAGAAGTTTGTTATTTTGATTGACAAGCTTATATCCAGAATTGGATTTCATAGAGTTATTGCTGGTGCTGTTGCTCATGATTCTCCAACTGTGTCTGAGGAGCCTACTGTAAATCTGACAACCTCAGAGGTTTCTTATTCTCGTGCCTGGCTGGCTGCGGAAATATTATGCACCTGGAAATGGCCTGGTGGTAGTGCTTTTAGCTCGTTTTTGCCTCTCCTAAGTGCTTATGTAATCAGTCAAGATTATTCTCCTGCTCATGGCCTTTTAGATTCTATTGTTTCCATTTTGCTTGATGGTGCTCTTATGCATGGAGAAAGTGGTGAACTGACTCCTGGAAATGTATGGCCTGGGTTGTATCATGAGGCTGAGAGTATCAGTGAGCCCTTTCTAAGAGCGCTCATAGCATTACTCTCTACTCTTTTTCAAAAAAATATATGGGGAAAGGACAAAGCTGTGCCATATTTTAGGATGCTTCGAGAGAAACTCTTTATTGGTGAAACAGTGAACTTAAATTGTTTGAATGTTCTTCCTGCATGTATGGAAGTTTTTATAGCACCGCTGAGCATTGCTTCTGATGCATCCCACAAAAGCGACCAGCCTGATGATTTCATAGAATGTGAGCTACATGTTACTGTTGTGGACTGGCTCCGGAAAACTGCATGCTTCCCTCCTCTAAATACATGGCAAAGTGGAAAAGGTATTGACACTCTGAAAACTTTATGATGCTAAAACTTTGTAATGATATACTCCCTCCACTTCAGTGTCCTAGTTTCTTGGAACATAAAGTTCAGAATGAGTTGAAAGTATAAATTAGATACATGACTAAGTCAGGAACATGTGAAGCTCCCTCTTGTTAAATGAAAGCTAAGCAAAAAATTAGTAGGTGGGGAGGATGCTGGACTTCTACCTATTTTTGTTTACTTGAGTACTTAATTGGAACAAATAAAGTAGTGTTTAAAGTTCCAATTTAGTGAAAGTGCATTATCTTCTGTAATTAAGCCATTGATTTTTGGGAACAGCGACTTGTCAATAGCAATTTGTCACATTGATGAACTTTCTGATTTTCACCTGTTGGGTAGAGCATGAAGTGGCAAGTCCTCCTTTTGTCCAAATTAGCAGCGCATGAATAGCCATAGTTCTTACCAACTAAAGAAAGAAAAGCCAAAAATATGGGTGTTTAATAGTTTCTTGTATTTAATTTTTCCAGTTTCTGTTTCAAATGACGCCCTGATTTTATTGCAAGTACCTGATTATGTCGTGCAGATATGGAAGGTTGGTTTCAGCTAGTTTTATCCTGTTATCCTGTAAGTGCAGCAAAAGGAGTGAATTGTATAAAGAAACAAAGGAGTATTGACTCTCTGGAGAGAGGTGTTCTTTTTGAATTATTTCGGAAGCAAAGACAAAATTTTGGTGCAGCAACTTTGATTAACAAACTGCCCATGGTCCAAGTTTTATTGTCAAAGCTTCTACTGGTTTCAGTTGCTTATTGTTGGGAGGATTTCAATCATGATGATTGGGAGTTTGTCTTGTATCGCTTAAGATGGTGGATCGAATCCACAGTTGTGATGATGGAAGAAGTTGCTGAAAGTGTGAATGATGCTATTACAAGCAGTTCAACTTGTAGTGATTTGGAAGCTACTTTAAACAAGCTTATGCTTACAGCTTCAAATGTAGACCATTCTGCTATAAATATTGCAAGAAATGCTCTTGCTGCATTTTCTTTGTTTTGTGGCCATCTTGGGAATGAAAACAATGAACTGGAAGATAATTTAAACCCATTGAGGAATGACAGATGGGAGATCATGAAAGATCGAATTTATGAGTGTATTCTTCGTCTGTTTTTTTCTACTGGTGTTGCTGAGTCGATAGAAGGCTCTTTCTGCAGTGAATCTTCATCTTTTATAGCAGCATCTAGGCTAGAGGATTCGCAGTTCTGGGAGCTAGTTGCTTCATCTGTTGCTGAGTCATCCTCACACGCAAGAGACAAAGCCGCAAAATCAGTTGATATGTGGGGACTAAGTAAAGGGCCCCTTGATTCTTTATATGCTATCCTCTTTTCTTCAAAACCCCTTCCTCATCTGCAGTTTGCTGCCTATACTCTTCTCTCTAGTGAACCTATATCACATGTGGCTTTTATAAGTGAAGAATTTAAAACATCATTTGATGAAGATACTTCCAGTAATCAGGGTTCTGTCCTTCCCGATTTGGCTTCAGAACAGAATTTCCGTTTGAGGGACGAAATCAGTTTCATGTTTGAAAGATTCCCCCGTGAAGTCCTTGATATGGATTTATTGGCCTGTAAACGGGTACGTAGTCTTTTAATGTACGACAAAATATTAAAAGCTGCTTTTGCATGTATCAATTTGGTACTTTGGACCTTGGATCCACCTCCACTGTACTCAAGGCATCCTTACCTAGCCTAAATGGAAAAGAAAATATATGATGCATACAGCAAATGACTTGTAGGAAAGTTAATTTGGCATCATTAACAGATTTTATGTTATTTCACAGGTAAATCTATTTGTTATTTGGTCTTTGTTGCTATCACATCTAGTGTCTTTGCCGTCGTCAACATCTGCAAGGGAGAAAATGGTTCAGTACATGCAAGATACTGCTGATTCAACAATACTGGATTGCATTTTCCAACATATTCCATTGGAATCCTTGGCTGGGTCCAGCTTGAAAAGGAAAGAACTTCCACCTGCTGTGTCAAGGGCAGCAACAGCTGCTGCACATGCCATCACTACTGGTTCAGTATTGCTTTCTGTGGAAAATCTTTGGCCTCTTGAAGCAGAGAAAATGACTTCATTGGCTGGTGCAATATATGGTCTGATGCTCTGCATGCTTCCAGCTTATGTTCGAGAATGGTTTAACAGTATACGTGATCGCTCTAGGTCATCTATGATTGAATCCTTCACAATAAGATGGTGCAGCCCTCTGCTGATAAAAAATGAGCTAAATCAGGTGTGTCGCAAATCACTCCAATCTTTTGAAACTACTATTCTGACCATTTCAAAATGCTATTCCTGTTTCAAAGTTACATGAATACTGGACAGAGTAGAGATGTTGAGGCCTGTCCTAGGTAATTTTAATCACTGAGGAATGTGTAAGCATTGAGAAAGGCTTACAAACTTAAAATTAGAGTTGTCTTTTCATGGGCAGTGGGCAATGAAGTGGAAACTGACTGTATACTACTGTCATAAGCCCTTGGAAACTAGTGGTCCATTTAAATTCAAGAGGGAGTATGTTTGTGGGTAAGGAAGAATAAGCTTATTATGGAAGTTTACGTGATCGTCATTCCTTCTGCTTTTGTAATGGCTGAGCAAATCCAACAGTATCCAACGACCTGATTGGCTGACCTTTTTTTTAAATAATAATAATAATTTGGTTTGCTACTAGATGATTTGGCTGACCTTTTCCCTGATCTACTACTACTAGATGATGTTTGGGGTTTCTGCCTATGCTTGATAACATTTTTTTCAGTATCTAATCCAGCCTGTATGTCCATCTCGTTGACTATGGAATAAATTAAGGAATATAAACCTTGAATCTGCAGATCAAGAAAGCTGATTTTGCTGATGAGAATTTCTCAGTTAGTGTGAGTAAATCTGCCAATGAGGTTGTGGCTACCTACACAAAGGATGAAACAGGCATGGATCTAGTCATTCGACTTCCTGCATCTTATCCGCTTCGATCTGTGGATGTAGATTGTACTAGGAGCCTTGGCATTAGTGACGTGAAGCAGAGAAAGTGGTTAATGTCAATGATGTTATTTGTTCGCAATCAGGTATCTCCTATAAGATTCAATTCATCTAATTTTCCTGTGAAATTGCTCATTGGCTATAAAATGGTTTATAAGGAGTGAGAGTTGTTCAATTAATCACTAGTCCTGTATTAAACGCGGGAGGTATTTGATGTTTGTTTGAAGAATTCAGTTTTTCTTTCAGTAGCTGAAAGTACGAAGTAATAGTTTTTCACTTGCCATTCATCTGAGATTATGTGATTCACCTAATGTTGCTTGAGCAATACTGTATTTGTTGACCACTTATTATAATCAGCCATTACTTGAATGATTGATTTTCGTCAGCTTGCAACTATGGACCTGATAATCTATTTTTCCTGTGATGCAGAATGGTGCCTTAGCCGAATCAATACGAATATGGAAAAGCAACTTTGACAAGGAATTTGAAGGTGTGGAGGAGTGTCCCATCTGTTACAGTGTCATCCATACTTCTAACCATAGCCTTCCACGCCTAGCATGCAAAACCTGCAAGCATAAGTTCCACTCAGCCTGCCTCTACAAGTGGTTTTCGACTTCTCACAAGTCTACTTGCCCATTATGCCAGTCTCCTTTCTGATCTCGTTGAGTTCAAGCACAAGACTGGTTACCATGGAGCCTGCCTTGGAAGGGATTTGCAACTTCTCAAAGAAGCTTTTTTGTCCAGTTTCTTTGATCTTGATGCATAAGGAATTGGTTTTTGATCTTGCACCCGTAGACTAGTTTATTTGTAACCGAAAAAAAAAAGAATGGGCTTGAGGCAGGATTAGTAGACCTTGAAGAAAACCAAGCTGTGAGCTTCATGAGTGGGTAAATACTTTCATTACCACAAATGGTTTTCCTCACCTTGTCAGTGAAGTTCAGCGGAGAAAGAACACTGATATATATTTTGAGAACCCTGAGTGGAGAATATTGATATAGATTTTGAGAACCCTGTCTGGCTTTGTTGGAGACTCAGTATACCTGGAGATGTAGAAGCTTAGATATAGCTTTGTAGAGCAGAATGTTCTGGAATGATAGTTTCTGGCAATCCTAGAACTGGAAGCGAGGCACATCTAGTTTAAACTTTAAAGTGACAACTGTAGCAAAATTTGTCTCAAATCAGTTTTATGTACAATAGAGATGGATGAACAGCCAAAGTTGTAGGAAGAACGTTCTGTGGAGGCTTTTTCTTTTTTTTTTTTTTTTTTTTTTTAAAAGGTCTTGAATTTGGGACCTTCCACATATATTCTCTTTTTCTGTACCATCCAGCCATCCTTCCCCTCACGCATCCTGGAGTTTGCAATGAGTATCTCTCAATGGTTCTCCGATCTATTTGGTCTTCTGCAATGGAATGCACTTTATGCGTTTTGCTTCTTGGTATTCTTGCTTCCCAATTTTTCTTTCTAGCCAATATTCTCTATATATTTTTTTATTCTTTTTTTGAAAATCGAAATTTAAGAAGTAAAGGTGGAGAAGGGGAGAATTGAATATGGGAATGGGACCCTTAATTTGTGGAGCCTCAACCTTGTTCCAGCCAATATTCTGCTTGTTATAGGTAGAAAAAAAATGCATTATCGCATTCTTCTTGCTTGTCAATTTTCTTCCCCAGTGACCTCATATCCTTGCTTTCAGCCGATACGAAGAAAGTCTATGAGTGATAGTCGTTCATTCTGTTTTTCTTGCGGCAAATATGAATGCCACTAAAATATCGCTTGGAACAGCCACGAATTTTATCTTGTGTTCCATCTAAAAACCATTATTGTTAAAGCAAGGATCAATTTTGAGTTGAATTTAGTCAAGAAAATCATTTGATTGATAGAAACTTCTTCCCTTTTCGGATTGCTTCAAGAAAAGAGTAACAAACTTCAGGAGAAAAATAAAACATGAAACGTAAAATCTAGGATCAATTATTATACCCCTTTCCATTCTCAGCCACTCTGGGCGGCGTAAGAATAAAAAATCCACAGCATCACCATGGGCACGTCCTTTACTACCAATAGTAGCCTGAGTTCATCGAACAAAAAGTTTCTCATATTCCATGCTGAATTGAGGAGTTTCTCATTTTCCAGGTCATAAACAACAATCACTACGGAAAAGGCAACAGTGAACAGTCTTGCAATCGAAACAATTTAAATGAAAATTAAACAAAAAGTAGTTCTCCAACAGCGACATGTCACATATGTATATTTTATGACAAGGACTGGAGCACAAAGTAAATAGGGATAAGACGGATATCCTTGAAAGGATGTTAAAAAGTTATGGGCAGGCAGCACTGTTCTCAAATTGTAACAAGAAGGAAGATCCGAAATCTATTTCCAACTGATCAAAGATAAGGGAAAGCTAAAAAACATTCCCCCAGTCGAACCAATAAAAACAGAGAAGCACCAACTTTGTCAAAATTGTATGATGAAAACATCAGCGAAGCAGCCATTGAACAGAATCACCAAAATCAAAAGCGTGAAAGAGTTGGACTCTGCTGAACCACAAGAAGTTAGCACAAAATGTTTTCTGTGGTCATCTCATGAAAGGCATTAACTGTCTTATCTCTGATCCATTGCCATTGGCAAGATAGTATATCTTCTTCCAGTTGTCCTCCGAAAAAGCATCTCGATTTACAAGTTGTTGCCTGGTAATTAATTAAGCAGAAAAAATGAGTCACCAAGTCATGATAGCAAACCTTGCAGACTAACAGCATTTTACATTTCTAAGTACTCTCAAGTAATGCATATCCAATCATGCACCATGCTCGATTTAGTACTCTTGAATATTAGGTTCAAGCAAAGTAATAGCTAACATCTTCACAAGAGTGAAACATCAATCAGTTGTACACAACATAAATATACAGGCCATCATCTTTAATTTGAAAACCATATCCATGAGACTCCAGGTTTGCACAATTTAACTCTTAATCCCAATTACACAAATTGCCTCCATAGAAGGAAACTCAAATTGTTGATTCCCAAATATATATATATATATATATATATATATATATGACAATTCTTTCTGAATTAAGTAGCTTCAGTTGGAGAGGGATATCTTCACCAAACTTGCCAAAGTAAACTCGTGCTACACCTTACACCTCACAAACCAAGATAAAAGCAGATACACCTTTTTGGTAACTTGATAATTGAAAACTTAAGTTAATCTGACATATGTACCTAACTTAACAATTGATCCTAGCAAAAGAGATGGCATATGTACCTAACATAATAATGACAAACAGTAGCAGCTTCATCCAAGTTGTAGCGAGGGAAGTTGATCCTAGCATTTGGTGGAACCTCTGGTAAGTCCTTGCGTAATTTTCCTACTGCAGTTGAATGAGAGAAAGCACCAACCATCATCAGATCCTTGTGCATCATGGACCTAAATGCATTCACCTACAGTTGGTAGATAACAAGGTACCTTAAAATCAAGCAAGTATAGCAACACCTAGGTTCAATCAATCAAATAGTTTGGCAAGCACAGAAGAAAAAAAGAATACAGACAGAGAGAAACAATGTACCATACAATAATGCTACCCATAAGAGAGCAAAAGAGATGTGAAAAAAAAACTTATTTTCTTCAAATGTGACCACCAAAAAAAGGGGTAGAGATTAGTTAGGCTCGCTCGCTCTCTCTCTCTCATGTGAACAAAATTAGACTAGTATTCTGACTACTTGAAATTTCCATCCTATTCCTAATTCATCATAACATTATCAACATCATGCACCAACTCGTGGACCGTGTATAAACAGAGTCTGTAACACTAGCTGTGCAGATAAAACTTGTTGGACCAAAACCATAATCTGGTGATATTCATAAATGGACTCAAGAAGCAATAACAAAAAATGGGGAAAAGTCACTTTTTCATTAGCGTTTACATTGTTGAAGAATCATGTTTGTAACTTACAGTTGTGAGCTCTCTAGCATGAATTGGACGGCAAGAACGAACAGTAACTGGTTCCTCATACTCACTAAATGTGAACCAACTGTTATACTACCAATGAAGAAACCAATAAAAAGAGTCAAAGTCATATGCTTACAAAACTAGCTTATCATTCAACATTGAGAAACAAATAGATAGGTGAAAATAAAGAAATATGTGATTGGCAACAAAATTAGCTCACCTGATCAATTGCAAAAAGTACAGGATATTTTTCTACAAGCAATAACTCTTCCCTTAAACGAACTAGTGCTCCAACAGAAGCATGTGTGTGTTTGATCCCATACTGAACTAGGTCATATAGTGTGGATCCTTCAGGCACTGGCATTGTGTCAGCACCCTTTGCCCATCCAACACCAGCACCCTCCCCCAATGGGATAGGCTCGGTTAGTTTGCAGTGCAGTTCTTGTAAAGGTGTTTGGTTAAACTTCATAAAATCCTAATAAAGAAGAACAAAAAAGTCAAGAGAGGGCAAAAGAACATATCAAACTTCAATTATAAGCAAATCAGAACTGTGAAAACATAATGCCTTAAACACAACATTAAAGCCTGTCATTTCTCAATAAGGCATTACAAGTGAGATGCTATTTAGGGAGGAGAAAAGGCAGGTCAAATTATTTAACTTGCATATTAGAAAAGTGGAAAAGAGATTAGAACTCCTACCTGAAGAACATTTGCTGCCTGCACAGGGGTGTCCCATAAACCTGTTCGAGGATTTCTATAAAAGAATCCTCCATGAGTCCATTCTCGTCCTTTGGGAACATAGAGAACCAACCATCCTTCATCACGAGCCCAATGAACAAGCATTGCAAGTGCTATACTCTTCCCACAACTTCGATGCCCATCCAATACAATTTTCCTCCTAGTTTGTGGGACTGCAAAATACCAAGACCGAAATAAATAACAAGTAGTTACAATTTGTTTTAGGAACTCACTCCCCAGCTTTCCAAGACGAACAAACATGACAAACAAGCTAGAGAACTCCTCAGAATAACATACTAATACGTTACATGAGTTAAACAACAATCACGGAAGCCCTTCCAATGTAGAAAGAGAAAAGCAATTCTCAGCTTGCTCTGAAGCTTTTCCACGTACTACATTACTCCTATAAAAATACGAACTTCTTTCTGAATAGAAGACACGTCTCAAAACAACAAAAATAAAAAAAAGAAAGTTGAAAAATCTCTCACCTTTAGCAGTGGGGTACATGGGAGGATCAACAACCCTTCTGAAATTATCTCGCAGGTCCAGAAAACTCTGCCGAATCAGCAACGCGTGTCGCATTGTTTCCTCGAACTCCTTCTCCATGCCCGGCGGGAATCCCTCCGGCAACACTCTTTCTAGCTCCTCCTTGCTGAACAAATAAAAGATAAGAACAAATAGTAGCAACAACGACACCATTTGAAAACATTTATAGCAGTGTTAATGAGTAGCATCTAAGAATTTCTCAGAAGGATTCACCTCACCTGAATTCCATAAAATGGCACGCATCTTTACGGGTGAGCTCCGAAAGCGACGGAGTGGATGTGAACAACGGACGGCCATTGGGGCCGACGTCGAGGGCTTTGTTGCCGGCGTTCTGGGCCAGGCGGCGGCGGTGTTCTTCTTCTATTTCGGCGACCAATTCTTCGGTGGGAGTAACTAGGACATCCTCCGGCCTGACTTTTTCATCGGGGCCATCTTTTTTACCACCAGCTTTTTTCTTTGCTTGGGCTGCACCTGCATTTGATTTCGAATTTTTTGAGGCGAAGCTTCTAGAAGCTGTGAACTGAGCTGGGCTGGCAGTTGGGAGTAGTATCTTTGCGAGGTTGGACTGCGGTTGGGAAGCGGCGACCGATCGGAGAAGTGATCGGAGCATTTCTACCAGCGCTTCTTTTTTTTCTTTTTTTTTTTGGGAAGAGTTTGAATCACTAGTTAGGGGTTTTGGGGAGGTTGGAGCAATTGGGAATTTGGAAATGATTTTGGGGGTAATTTTGTCATAGAAATTGTTGGGCTACACTATGGCCCCATTAGAGATTGTTCATGATGGATCTTGGGCATTTGCATGAGGAGACTCCGTGTTTTAGTTATCTCTGAAACCCCGGCCGTACAAGGCCCATTGGATAGATCTACACCAGAGGGTCCATCCTCCCGTAATGCATGGACACCAGAAGGTCCACCCTCCCGCAATGCATAAATATTTCTCAACCACGGAGAGAATATCAATGCAGTGGAGCAATTTTCTTGTTTTTTGCAACGATTAAAGGAAAATGTTATTTACACTCCATTTTTCTTTTTGTTATTTGAACTTCCATCATCATTTATTATATTATATATCCTAATAAATAAAAATTATATGATTAAAATAATAGTGAATGTGTGATTGACAAAAGTGGGAGTATAGATAACATTTCCCCCATTAAATT